TATTTTATGAATCTTTCTAACTATGGCGTGCATCTTTCTAATTATTCTGTCTTGTCTAGGAACGGTGCGGTTTAATCTTGATCCTTTCAATGAGCATAATGATGCTGACCTTTGGGAAGCTCTAGAGAGGGCACATCTGAAGGATGTCATTAGGAGGAATTCTTTGGGTCTGGATGCTGAGGTATAAGTATTTGTCAAGTTGGAGCTGCTTGAATTGAGAAATTGTAACAAATTGCTTTTACTCATTTCCTTGACAACTTTCTCATTAAGTTACGATTTGTCTTTATTGCATCAAGGTTTCTGAGGGAGGGGAGAACTTTAGTGTTGGACAGAGGCAACTAATAAGTCTTTCTAGAGCACTGCTGCGGAGATCAAAGATTCTTGTTCTTGATGAAGCAACTGCAGCTGTTGACGTTCGAACCGATGCTCTTATCCAGAAAACCATCCGTGAAGAATTCAAGTCATGCACCATGCTCATTATTGCTCACAGATTAAATACCATTATTGACTCTGATCAAATCCTTGTTCTCGATGCTGGTCAGGTATGCCCTCATTTTAATGCAAGGATAAATTTTGTATGAGTGTCACGTACATTTTGGGAGAGGAAGGTTGTATATAACGGGATCATACAACAATTTTTACCTCTTATTTCAAGCCAAAAACTATCAACTCATAACTTTTAACCTCTCATTTTTTCAGGTCCTAGAACATGATTCCCCAGAAAAGCTACTATCGAATGAAGAGAGTGCCTTCTCCAAGATGGTCAAGAGTACAGGACCTGCTAATGCTCAGTATTTGTGTGGCCTGGTATTTGGAGGTAAACAGAATAAGGTCGTTAGGGACCAAACTGAGCCAGTGGTTGGCCAGAGCCATAGGAGTTGGTTGGCCTCTTCTCGCTGGGCTGCGGCTGCCCAATTTGCATTAGCTGCTAGTCTCACTGCTTCACAGAAGGATCTTCAAAGATCTGATATTGAAGACAAGAACAATATCCTCATGAAAACAAAGGATGCAGTTATAACACTGCAGGGAGTTTTGGAAGGGAAGCATGATAAAGAGATAGACAACACACTGAATCAACACCATATACCAAGACAAGGGTGGTGGTCAGCTTTCTTCAAAATAGTTGAGGGTAAACTAATTACAGGGAAAGAAAACAGCAAACTTCAAATTTCACTCATCCCTTTGTCTATTTTTCTTATCAAATATGGTTTTTTAAATTTCAGGTATGGCTGTGATGGGCAGGCTTGCTCACAACAGGCTTCACCCATTAGAAGATGATTTTGAAGACAAGGCCATAGATTGGAGTTGAATACGAAACCAGAGAACAAGAACTGTTTGATACTTGGAATTTCCTCACTGAAGGGGAGAGGAATTAACTGTATAGGTGTTTGTCCAAATTGCAACACAATTATCATCTCTGCTTATAGCTGCAATTCACACAAGTCATGATTATCAACGTTAATCTTTTTTATTTATTTTATTTTTTATTTTTTTAAAAAAGTCATTTCTTTGGTGCCAAGCTATCGAATGAATCATTGTTGAGTTTCTCTTTTCTTCACTTGCAATGAGATTTCAGTCGACCCACTATTAAGAGGCGTAAGAAACAACTTAAATAATGATCAATATCACTCATCCTTCTTTAAAGAGTATAGCCGGACGGCTATACTGTCTAAATATATCCGAATATTCAAATAGTCTAGCTGGGCGGCTATATAAAGTGTAAATATTTTCGAATATTTAAATTGTAGAACCGAACGGCTATACCATGTGAATATTTTTGAATATTTAAATCGTATAGCCGTGCCGATATACTGTCTAAATATTTTCGCATACTTAAATATTAGGGAGTTTCACTAAAACACCCAAAATGGGAGTTGAAATTATAAAAAAACCCAACGCCCAAAACCCATCATTACACACTCAAAACCCATTTATAAACACACCCAAAAAATATACAATTGTTGACTTTGGAGTTGATTTTGGGTGTGTTTCTATATTTAAATAGTGTTTGGGTTTTTTTTATAAATACATGTTTAGAATTGGGTTTATTTATAAATTTGTATAAATTATTATAGCAGTGCGGCTATGCTGTGTAAATATTTTTCGCATACTTAAATCGTATAGCCGCACGGCGGTACTCTTTAAATATAAAATATATTTAAAGAGTACCGCCGTGCGGCTATACTATGTTAATATTTTGGAATATTCAAATCTTATAGCCGGACGGCTGTACTCTGTAAATGTTCACACATGCGACGAACAGAGGATTGAGTAAAGACTCTTTCGATGGTCATCGACAAGACTGTCAGTAAGTTGGATCCACCTGGAAAGTTTCTAACATACTCTTGTTGCGATTTTACGACTAAGCAGAACCAGTTGTAGCAGCAAGAAACCTCGGTTTCTAGTTGAATTGCAGCTTGGCGGTGGTAGTTGGTACTCAAGTCCATCTTTATATCAGTAAGAATATTCAACTGCTGGGAAACAAAATGTTGAACTTGGCGACATTCATGCATCGTTGTCCACATGTGCAAAAGCCTGAGGATACAAATACAGGAGGAAATGTTTCGCCACATTCCATTAAAAGCTCTGGAAGGCGGGTTGAGAATTCTATGTTTAAGGTAAGGCAAGGCAACCTGTAAATGTTTTCGAATATTCAAATAGTATAGCCGCACGGCTGGACTGTATAAATATATTCCAATACTTAAATTGTATACCCGGACGGCTATACGGTGTAAATATTTTTGAATATTTAAATAGTATAGCCGCACGGCAGTACACTGTAAATATTTTCAAATATTTAAACAGTATAGCCTGTACGCTGTAAATGTTTTCGAATATTCAAATAGTATAACCGCGCGGCTGTACGCTGTAAATGTTTTTGAATATTAAAGTAGTATAGCCCGGCTGTATGCTGTAAATGTCTTTAAATATTTTTTATTTTTTCGAATATACCTATTTTAATATTTGTAATTAAGAAATATCTTAACTTTATTTAATTACTTTAATTAGTAATTATATTTCAATTATTATTTATTTAGTGAATAATTAGCATTTAAATATTTAAATTAATTTCATAAATTACTCAATATATAGTAATTAATTATTTTATATTATTTTGTGCACTGTTTTTAAAAAAAATTCATACACATTAGTTGGGATTTCCTCTCAATGAAGGGGAGAGGAATTAATTGGATAGGTGTTTGTCCAAATTGCAACATAATTATCATCTCCGCTTATAGCTGCAACTCACACAAGTCATGATTATCAACGTTAATCTTATATTTTTGAAAGTAAAAAAACAAAGTCATTTCTTTGGTGCCAAGTTATGGAATGAATCATTGTTGAGTTTCTCTTTTCTTTCACTTGCAATGAGATTTAATATCCTGCTGTTGAGAAATTATTAGGGTGATTTTATTGGCACCCCATTAATTGCTCTTTACACCCCATACTAATTTTAAATATAAAAAACCTATTTTACCCTTGTACACAATTACCGTTAAGGACAAAAAAAATTAAAATTAAAATTAAAATTGCTCACTACACCCCACATATGTTCTTGCAACCCTAGTTTGACTTTTTTTTATCAAACTATCATGTTCCTAAACCCTAAACCCAAGATTTATAAGTTTATACTGGTGAAAAAATATATTGTATTATTCATGAAGGGTGAGATTGAAGTTAGAGACGCTTCGAATGAGGTACGAGTTTATTTTTTGGCGTTTTGCAAGTTTAATATTTCATAACAGTCGCTGGTTGTGTTCAGCACATCAGTACCGAACGCGACAGATAATTTCGGTGGGATGCCACCGAAACTTTGCACCTTTTTCGGTTGGATTTCACCGGTGAGAAACTTAATATTCGGTGGGGATCCACCGTAAGATGGAACGTAGTTCAGTGGTGTACTACCGAACTTTTACCCACGTTTCAGTGGCATCCAACCGAAATTTATTTATTTTTTCAGTAACTTATTGCCAACCACAAATTTAATCCAAGCTATTTTGATCTTACTCCCATTGAAGGAACAAAATCAAGGTGACGCCCTTACTGAAGGCAACAATGTGGGAACAGAATGTGTAATGGACTATAGTGCTCAATTCACAACTTATTCGGTAATTATTTGTCTGAAATCCTTTTTAGTATCATTAACGTGGCATTAATGTTTCAAATTTTATATTTAAATAATATGAGTTTTATGTGTAGATATTCAATGGTAGAGATGCATTACTTTGATGGGCTCGTGAACAAGGAAAATTGAATAATATTGTCATTGTAATTAAAAGGTCTGATTATGGAGGTGAGGGCAAGAGGAGACCTCGTGTAATACTTGCTTGTGAGAGGAACGGTAACTATTAGTCTTGCAAATCTAGTGAGACAACTGATATAAGATCGGATGCAAATGGTGATATGAAAAAATGTGCTAGAGACACTGGTACCAAGAAATGTGGATGTCCATTCTTGTTAAAAGGTGTCAATATTGGTGATGGGGATGATTGGAAGTTGGAGGTGGTTAGTGGAGTACACAACCATCCTATTTCAGAGTATCTTCAAGGTCATTCATTTGTGGGGCGACTTACTGAAGAGGAGAATGCCTTGTTGGTGGACATGTCTAAGAGTTTGGTGAAACCCAGAGATATTTTGGTCACCATTAAAGATAGAGATGCAATGAATGTTTCAACTATGGAGACAATATACAATGCTAGGATCCGAAATAGAACCAAAGAATTTGTTGGGAGAACCCAAATGCAACAATTGCTTACTAAGTTATCCGAACACAATTATATTGAGTGGCATAGGACATCTGGTGATATTGTAATTGACCTGTTTTGGACACACCCCATTAATATTGATATTTTGCGCGCATTTCCACATGTACTTATCATGGATTGCACCTATAAGACTAATAAGTATCGTTTCCCACTATTGCAAATTGTGGGGGTGACATCTACTAATATGACATTCTCTGTTGCGTATGTGTATATGAATGCCGAGAAGGTAGACAATTACACATGGGCATTGACTGCGTTGAGGACAACAACACCATACATGTGCTCATACACCCATGCCTCCAGCAAAGTCATGTACCCAGCAATCTGCTTCACCTTAGACCTCGAAGCTTGGCCTAATTGTCTATACAACCATGCTAAGCACCCAGAACCCCATGAATAACCAGCAATACTATCAAGGTTTCTAAGTAGTCTAAGGTACACAATTTGGACTCTCGTGCCAATCTTGTCAACAAACAAAGTGCAACCCAAGAGATATAGCAAATATGCCCTGGCCGAATACATGATGTACTCCTCTGAATCTGTGTCTGAAACATTGGAGAATCGCGCCCGTAACCATGACAAACTCACATACTCATCACTGTATTTGTGCAATTGTTTAGTAGCCTTTTCATCAGTCACTCCTAAGTACTTAACTAACAACTCAAAATTTGTGTCGTCATCATCTCCAAGAGGAGCAACCGCTACACCAGACACAGGAATGCCTAAAATAGATGACACATCATCCAATGTGATGGTCATCTCACCAAAAGGCATGTGAAAGGTGTTCGTTTCGGGATGCCACCTCTCAACAAATGTAGACACCACAATCTTATCAGCATTCCGATAAGAACACCTAATAAGGGGCTCTAATCCAGACCTCTGAATGTACCCTTTGAATATACCATTATTTGGATTACCCCACCAATTCCACTCACGAAGGGTAGATGTTTTCGACATGCACCTAAGGGGCTCACGTTCCTAGTTAAAAAAAAAACAAAATTAAGGTTAGTTACCATGAACCAGATTTATATTCTACCTTCTATTGTCACAGTAAAACGACTTACCTGGTTATTCCAAATTGTAGCTGTTATGTGAGTTTTAAAACTCGTAAGTAAAGATGGATCAATGGGACCTACTCGAGATGGCTCAGTAGGCTCGGCATGTACCTCAACATTACTATCCTGAGCAGTAGCTACATCTTCAACCTCTGCGTCAACATTACTATAATCAGTAGGAACTACATCTTCAACCTCTGTAGTATCCTCAATGTGATCTTGGGGAGCCGCTCTCTGTCTCCTCGCTGAGGCCGTGGGACGTTGTCTATTAGGTCGTGATGATGAAGCTTCAATAGTACCCCTGCGAATCCTCTTCATATCTAAAAATAAAAAATATTAAGTACACACTCAGTAACGTATTTGGTACATAATCACTGAAAAACGGAAATAAATTCGGTGGACAATCACTGAAAAAAGAATACATATTTGGTGGAGTACCACTGAAAAACCGAAAGAAATTCGGTGGGAGTCCCCTGAAAAATAGAAACAGATTTGGTGGACTACCACCGAAACAAGGTAACAATTTCGGTGGTAACCCACCGAAAGTACAAGTTCAATTCGGTGGACTACCACTGAAGCAATGTAATCATTTCGGTGGCAATCCACCGAAACTAGAATCCAATTTCGTAAAACCAGGTTCTAACTACCCAGAACCTTGAAATCAAAATCAAAATCAGTATCAGACTTTGGCTTTTCAAAAGTGAAATCAAATGTAGGCTTAATCAACACTTAGAAACGTAAATATATAAATCAAATTTGAAATCAAACCTTGAATAAGGATTTGTGAGAACTTGACCTTCAATGGCTTTTGGGTTTGCAGAGATGGAGATGGGTGTGATGGTTCTGTTTCAGAGATGGTTCAGGTTTGCTGGAGGCGATGGCAAAGGGCTTCTTCGATGGTGAGCAAAGATCTGCGATGGCAAGGGATGAGTTCTTCGATGTTCTGTGATGCAGGCAATGGCAAAGGGCTTCTTCGATGGTTCTGCGATGGAGGTTGGTGTAAATGGGATGGGGTGTGCGATGGGGTGTGTCTGCAAGAGGAGAGAATTTTCGGTGGGGTGTGGCTGGATATCAGATGGGGTGTGGGGTTTGATTTCAGTGGGGTGTGGCTGAAAAGGAAGGGGGTTTTCGGTGGGTGGAATGGGGTTTATGAGGGCAATTTAGGGAAAAAAAAAGGGGGTTTAATGAGTAATTTGAAATTTTATTAAAATTTAGTGGGGTGTAAAAAATTATGGGGTGTAAAGAGTAATTTATGGGGTTCATATAGAATTACCCAAATTATTATTCTTGAATATCTGTTTGGCTGCTTTTATTCAAATGCTCCAGAAGACACAGCAATCAAGGACAGAACTTCATTCCGATGTGGTTTAGAAACGTCCTGTTACCCCGCCTCAAGTTCCTTGGGACAGAAATGGTTACAAGGGCAATATAACGGCATCTTTGAAAAGCAATTAAGATCTGCCAATCTAACAAAATCTTCAGCATTCTGATGTTAACATCTTCAACTACCCTGATAACTCAGGAAGATTCATATTTCATCTCCATATTTTCAAGGCAACAGCGTTAATTCTATGAGGTTGACAATGTACCATCAGAATCATCGGCTGGTTTAATGACGCCACAAACAGCCTCAATGGCTTCAACATAGAGACTAGAAAATGTCATTAACGCTTGGAATACATTGGGAAGGCTTCTTTTTAGGTTTTCCAGTGTCAGGGACTTGCTAACCCGGACTGAGTTAAGAAATTTGGCCTTCTCACTGTCCACTTCCTTTTTTAAGTCTTCAGTTTTGTCTCGCTTAAGTGACAAAGGATGCTTAGGGCCTAAACTGGAGTACTCATCTCCCTCGGTGACGCTCCCCTCCATCTTTTTCTCCATCTCAGCCAATGAATATAACTCCTTTTGCAGTCTTTTCTCAAGTTTTTCATATTTTTTCTGCACATTGTGCTCCTCCACTTGCTGCACGCGAATTGAGCAGATTGCTAATTGAAGGCTCTTAATGGCTTCTGCTGCCTCCTGTAAGCACAACAAAGCATTAAAAAATTTGTATCAAACCACGAGTCCAGTCAACATAAAATGGTTGACTCCCACAATGAAATTCCATGACCAAACAAGTGATGTGAATGCGATGGCAGCATATGAAATTATACATTCTGCTTTTAGTGACATCTATACAGTAGCTCATAGACTAGAGCATGAAGAATTTTCCTTTTAGGAATATTAATTGTCATTAAAATCAGTGAGAGCCAACAGAAGGTTATACCAGAAATACCTCATGCTGTAATCGTTCAAAAGCAAGATTCCATTGTTGACACATGCAACGAACAGAAGATGAGTAAAGACTCTTTCGATGGTCATCAACAAGACTGTCAGTAAGTTGGATCCACTTGGAAAGTGTTCTAACATACTCTTGTTGAGATTTTACGACTTCGCGGAACCAGTTGTACCAGCAAGAAACCTCGGTTTCCAGTTGAATTGCAGCTTGGCGGTGGTAGTTGGTACTCAAGTCCATCTTTATATCAGTAAGAATATTCAACTGCTGGGAAACAAAATGTTGAACTTGGTGACATTCATGCATCGTTCTCCACATGTGCAAAAGCCTGCAAGAGAGTCATGCAAAAGCCTGAGGATACAAATACAGGAGTACATGTTTTGCCACATTCCATTAAAAGCTCTAGAAGGCCGGTTGAGAATTCCATGTTTAAGGTAAGGCAAGGCAGCCTTATTATGAAGACAAATCCAGTGGGACTAAATCAAGGTTTTCTTAGAGTAAAGGGGTGCTTGTGGATAAAAAAACTTATGGTTCCAGGTATTCGCTACTTGGTACCAACTAGAAAGATTACTAAACACCCCATTATACACAAAAATGTCAGATTGAAAAATTGTAGAGAAAGGTACTAATGATTTTGAGTCTTAGATATAGAGCCATAAAATATCTCAAGTCTCTGGTAACTACATTGAAGGAGATGGATGAGAAAGGGGAAAAATGGTATCCATCATCTTGAAGAACAAGTTTCAGTGAGTCACCAAAAGAAAAAAATTGCATTCTACTATCCTATATACTTTAAAACTAAGAGAATGGCATCCAAATTATTTTTTCTATAACAAGAAAAAAATTGTGGCTATTATACTACATGATTAATGTCACCAATACCCGGAAGTTAGTGTGACCAACTGAGGATACAGCTCATCATCTATGAGCTTCACTAAAGAAGAACAAGTGGTGCTGATTGAGTGCTGAAGACGTAAGATGTCTGACTCCAAACTCTCAACGCTTAACCGAGTTTTCTCAGTCTTGGTCCAGTCATGGTTTTCATCCTCTTGTTTTTGCAGTAACTTGGATTTCTTATCATGCTCTAATTTGGTAAACTCTTCCTCCTGCATAATAGAATAATTAAATTCATCAGAAACTCCGAGCAAAATGAGAGAGAGAGAGAGAGAGAGAGAGAGAGAGAGAGAGAGAGGATTAAAGGAAAATGTTACAAAGATAACCAAGTGTTGGAAAATGATGAGTCATCACCACCAGAAAATAGTTTTCTCAAAGATACCAGGGCAAAAAAACCACTACCTGTAGTCCTTCAAGTCTGAACTGGTATAGTGTAGAAATTTTAGGGCATGGCTGATGCAATATTTATTTATTTTATTGGAAATGAAAAATTAACTATAAACTTATAATCAGAAAATCAGTCAATGTGTCATTACCTACATGGGATGGCACATCTTAAACACTACAGTTCAATTCAACACGTGCACACAAGATAGATTGCAGTCATCTAGCATGATGTCATTTTAACTAATCAAAAAACACATTATGAACGTTTACATATGCTGATTTTACTGAATACAATACGTTCAATTAGTATTTTTACCTTAACTTCTTTGTAAAGTTTCTTTTCCTCATCATATAATTTTTGAAGTGTAATGCAATGAGCTCCTGGCCTGCATGGTTCACTTGGACCACTAGACTCAACTGCATCTCTTGGAAACTGAAGTGACCTAGAAGACCAACTCCATGACAATGCACTAAAGACCTTTGTGGAATTACCCCTCTTCCCTGTAAATCATACAGCAAAACAATTACGCGGAGGAACTTAATAAGCAAAACATCCAGTAAATACAAGCACACAGACAGGGAGAATGCATCAACACAGATAAGCTGCACAAACAAAGTCTTGTAGAGAACTAATACATCTGAGGGATATTAGGAGCCGATCTATCAGAGAGGAAATAGTGCATAGCTTTAAAAATATACCCTTTAGTATAATTCTTCTTGATAGGGAGAATTTGATTTGAATGCGATTTGTATTTTTTGGTTAGAAGTTTTATGAACTTCTTCCATCCTACTTGTACTTTCTCCAACTTTGTTATAAATTTTGTGTTTCTATCAAAAGAAAAATTATCAAGAAATATAAATGTAAAGGAGACAACATCTAAGAGAATCCAAATGCATAAATAGAGCTAGTATTTACTTTTGCTTTCACTCGTACTGTGAGGCAGAGAAGTATTCCCTCTTTTGATTTCCATAAGAACAGCAATTTCCTTTAAACCATCTGATGGTTTGAGAAAATATTCATCTATCACCTTAGCTATACCGTCCAAGGTCTTCTTGCTTCTCCGTAGTACCATGGCCATGTCTGCAGTGTCCTTAGTATACAACTTCATCGTTGATGAATTATCCCCAACGGAATCTGCGAGCTGCGGTTTCTTAGGCAGAGAATTTACAACATTTGAAGCAGTTTCCTCTTCATGTTCGTCTTCCTCAAAATCCGTCTTAGTCTCTGCCCAGTTTTCCTCCTCAAGTGGTTCCACTGTTTCATTATGTTTCAGATGCTGTGGTGAAGAAGAGTCAAAAAGGTACCAAGATTCCCATGACGAGCTCGGGCCTGGAGGAGGTGGTGGAGTACTGATATCATCCTCTGTAATCTCTATGCTTTCCTCTAGACCAATTTCTTCTCTGTTATCCAATTTTCTCAAATCAGGGCTATAAGGAGGTGGTGGTGGAGGGGAAGGAGGCAAAGGGGGAGGAGGGGAAGCTGGCAATGCCAAGCCATATGGAGTAGTATCAAGCTCTAATGTCTCGGACTCTGTAAATTGTCTAAGTGTTGCTCCAGTATTCCTCAATGCTCTTAAATAATCCAACTGGGCATCTGCAAATGCTCCTCTAAACCGAACCAACTGTTTCATTAGCTTCTTTCTCTCCTTGCAAACTCGCACCCTCTCTTCCTTATCAATCCTCGATGCAACACAACCCATTTTCCCAAATTTCCAACAACTTCTTCTGCCTAGTGACTGACAGATAGTAAGAACCAGAGACAATAGACCCAAATGCAAGCTCCGTTTTGAATACTGTTATACTAGAAAAACGAGTAAACTCATAATGCACATCCACTTTTCAGTTATCATTCAAGCCTAGAGAGTCAGATGATCATCATATTAAGAAATCCAATTTTGACAGCTTCCATTCCTAGTCACGAAAGAAAACCCCAACTTTTTCCAAATCTTTCATAAATCATAAGCCCTCATAAGCTGTAGAAGTAACAAGAAAAAAAAAACTTAAACAGGTACCTTTTCTCAGTGAACTTTCAAGCACAGATAAAATTCTCCTCGTCACCGTGAATTCAAAGTTTTTACACTACATGCCCAAATATCAATCCCACCACCTCACCTACAAATCCTGAATCTGCTATCCTCATTCATCATGCATCCCCACTTCTAATGCTTCAAAGGCCCTAAAGAAGACAAAAATAACAGTAACTAAAGTAACCCACTTCAAAGATCTCCATATCCCACAGACAAATGGAGCTGGAGTGGATAGAAAAATAAAAAGATAAGGGTTTTACAGCAGAGTTCCAGAGATGTTTTTTCCCTGGGAAGCAGTTCAGAGATGATTTTTAAAATGCAAACTTTCATAAATAAAAAAATTAAACAATTAAAAATGAAAAGCAAAGACAAGATAACAAGGGGTCTGACATGGAAACTTTCAGAGACAGAGACACAGAGATGTGTGTGTGAGAGAGAGAGAGAGAGAGAGAGAGCAGTGCTTTGCTTTGCCCAGCGAAAACGACCAAGCTAAACGACAAGCAGTGCTATTACTAGTACCAGGGATTTGGGTTTTCAAAACGTCAACACAGAAAGTAGAATCTTCTCCAAGCAAAAAGCTTCATGACAGAGAACCCCACACAAATGTGTTGCCTTTTCCATGCTTTTTCAGATGGAGACCATCAAAAAACATAGAGAGAAACAAAGAAAAAGCAAAGAGCCAAGCGAAGCATCCAAGGCCAAGAAGGCGCATTTTAGTACAACCGCATTATAATAATGCTTGCTTAACCAAGAAGCAATTCATGCATGACAGCCATGCCTCTCAGCTCTCCTCTCTTTGGGCCACTCCACTGCTTTCACTGTTGCAGAGATGTGCAAAAGGACTGAGAGAGTACAGTGGTTACCCTGGGCTCATCTTAGCATGTAGGGGCCCACATGGTTGGCGTGAAGTATTAGGGTGCGCATTTCAGCAAGCAGAGCAGGAGAGAAACTCAGAGATAAATGCGAGGTGGCTTGGTTGGTCACTGCAAAGTTCAAAAGGCAACTACAATTTTTCCAGTTTTCTGCAGAGTGGCAATTTCACTGTTTTCTTTTTTGCTTTCCTATTTAAAAAGCGCTTTCTGACCACTAATTTGGCCTACAGGTCACAGTTCTGCTGTTGGCTTTTGCCAACTTTCTTCTTCTCCTAATTTTATAAGTTGCACTAACCTATTAATGTAACTAGAGAAAAAGTGCACCAACTTTTTTTTTCTTAGGTATTAAGAAATATTATCTAACTATGTTACTATGTTTTATGTGATGAATGAAAATAATATAATTGTTTTCTTAATGATGTTATGAGATTCAAAAGAAATTCTTTGATTCGGTAGTCCGACCACATCAATTGTCCGTCCATTCTCACAACTAAGCTTAGCGAGGTCTTTTTATATGGTGGTCTCATCCTGCCCCACGTAGTCCCATCCAACTAGAACACCAATACAAAATAGCCCCGCTCCGCTTGGTTGTGAGGATGGGTAGACGGTTGACGGGGCCTGGCGGCCGAATCAAAAAAATTCTCCACATAAGAGGGTCCTACATGGGTTTCAATATCTCATTTCACAGGGAAAGAAGAGAGATGAGAAAATTAGGGGAAAGAAAAAGGTTTGAGTTTTGTACCTACTTTATAAAAGCTTTCAAGTTGCGAATTGCCTTGAATTTTAAATGAACTAGATTTTTGCTTCACATAAGCAGAAAGTAACTCATTCTTTCAATACTTAGGGGCAAATAATCCTTGGGAGACTAATTGTTGGTGCAAGGAAACGTCCTGGATCATACACAATCTCAATTTCCTTAAAGAAGATTTCTTTATTGGAGAAAGCCCCCTATTTATTCCATTTACTCCCATACCAACAACAGGAACTGATTTGGTTCAATACAACATCCATACAATCTGAATCTAACAAGGATATTGCTGTAAATCAGAAATCATTGCCTATTCATTCACCATATCCTGCTTGCTTATGTTAATGTGTTGGCCTATAAGTAAGGAAAAAAGTTAAATGAACATAAAAAATAAAAAAAAAGGCCACCTTCACCCATTTTGTTCATAGATATATGATGAAAAATTGGTGTTGTATCGATGAAGATAGAAGAGCCACCACTAATGTTTTCTTTCTAAACGGACAGCATGACTTGAGAAAGTTTTTCTTTGGGCCTGAAACCCTTTTATGTACGTATTTATATTTAGCCCATATACACCACCACATGTTGGATCAGTTATGCGGCTTAGAGTCATTTTACAGTGAGGTTCTTATATATGACATTTGGGTGATGTCCTATCTTTTAATCGTTAGATTAGGCAAATCAATTTGATTCAACGACTAACCAATTTGATCCAACGGTTAAAAGATAAAACCTCACCTAAGGGCCATATATAAGGCCCTCACTATAAAATTCTTGATGCGATTAATTTAGATCCATATACACATTATGTGAGTTAATTACTAAACTTAAACTAGCACCAAGCTGCATGATTAATTTCTGAATAGTTAATCTTGCTATTGTACCAATTTTAGTTTGAATTTGTGGTAGTTGTCTCCACTTGTTTCGAGGAAGTCTCGCTCTACTCACATGAATATAAGAATGATATATATACGTGATGAATTTGATATATAATTATAGTTTACCCATTTTAGTGTGTATTTTTTGTTGTAAATGTGTTGTCTGATCCGTCTGTAAAACTATCTTCTGTGGTATCCTTTGTTTATTAGCTTTTGAACTTACACAAATAGGTTGTGCATGCGTGCTGACGGCTGAGTTTATGTTCTTATTTAATTGGTTTTTAATATTAATTTTTTCTATGGTGTCATTATGTTCTTTTATTAAAAAAATGACACATGCATAAATAAAGGTCATCTGAACGTCTCTCCCACGCTGTGCAAAACTTGCAATATAGAAAGATCATGTGTTCCAATAAAGCTTTTCATATTGCTTTGAATTTTGAACCAAGCCCACAGGGTAAAATACTTCACATGTACGTTTATGTGCAATCCCTAAGTTTTTTAAATACTATTTTAAATGGTTTACTTAATTTGGAATTTTAATTAAAAATTTAGATTTATAATTTTATCATTGTCCCACGAGAATTTATTTGTATAACAAGAAATAGGCTACAATAACATTTACTAAAACCCTAGAATTACTTCAGAAAAATATATGAGATTTACTTTCTTTCTTTTTTTAATTAAAGAAAATATATGGACTAGTCCTCCAACGGCGAGCATTTTTTGAGAATGTTTGTATTAACAAAAAACATTTTATGATATTTTGAATGTTTCACCATTCTTGGCTTGTCTTTCTTCCTCCCAATATTGAAGAGAGTTCTTAGGGTCGTTGATTAACTTGATTTCAAATTTTTTATTTGGAATTTTTTTAAGAAAATAATTTTCACTTGTTTAACTTTCTTAATTTGATTAATTCTACAGATTTCTAATGCAAAACTTTGGATGCATACGGGTTTTGTCCCCTTAGAACCTTTCGGATGTGAAACTCCCTGAGAAGATTTGTTCAGTACAATCAACATGTATTCTTTCTTCTTCTTCTTCTTTTTTTTCCTGAACAAAAGTGTATTGAAGTATTTTTTTTGTTGCTGAACGAACACATGTATTGAAGTATTTGGTTGAAGTGCAGAAGTGTATGCAGGGTTCACTGGCTTTTCAACAAACAAAATTTTCTGAAAAGAAAAATTTTAAGAAACAATTTGAAATCAAGTTAGCCAACAAACCTAAGAAGTTGGTTCTGAAAAGCTTGGTTATGCCTACAACGGGACAGATAAATACTGAGAGAGAAGGGAACGAGGTGGAGAAGTTTGTTACCGTAAAAGTGTTGTAACTATTTATAATGACTAAAATGGACATGATGCTGAAAGTGCTTTTTACTAATCTGTTTGGTAAAAAATAAAACTGTAAAGTGCTTTTATACTTTTCTCCCTAAAAATTATATTAATCTTTGCTTAAAGAAAAGAAAAATTCAAATTGAATAAACTCCAACAAAGATAATTATGTATTGAATAAATTCCAACAAAGATAAAGAGATCACCACGGTTTGAAATTTCCTCGCACAATAATTAAACCATAAGTAGTCTATGATTTTTAGGATCTTCTCCAACTTACAAAACTAAAAAATTCCTCCCCAATTTTTTTTTATGATTTTTTGAATTTTACGACTTCTAAAAATAATAAAAAATACTTCCCGACCTCAAAAATTTATGAAACTTTTTCCCATCATAGATTGCATTTTTCTTAGTATCCCTGCAAAAAATCACGTCCAAATACCTTGTAGCAATACACCATCCTTGATATTGAATAAGTAATAAACATTTTTTTAAGGTTTGAATTGTAGCAATAAAAACAAATTGCAACTAGGCTTAAATAAATGGAAATAAGGAAAATGTCTAAGAAGATGCATGCATTAAACTTGCAGCAATCTTATTCCTTAATGTTTCTAGTTCTTGTGCTCCAGGCCCTTGAGTAATGTGATATTCTTCTTGTGCATCACCCTCCATCTCCATTGCATTTGGGTTGTCATTCACTTTGTCAAAATGAATATCACGTTGGACATGCCTCCTTACATAGTTGTGAAGTGTCATAGTTGCAATTACTATCTTCACTTGCTTATCGAGTGGATAGCTAGGCATGTCTCGCGAAATACTCCACTTTTTCTTCCATACACCAAAAGTGCGTTCAATGACACTCCTAAGGGAAGAATGTACGTGATTAAATACTTCTCTAGAACCTGTTGGTTGAGTACCCCTACGGAAATCTGGAAGATGATACCTTTCACCTTTATATGGTCCCAAATACCCACTCATTTGTGGGTAACCCGCATCCACAAGATAATATTTTCCTCTAACCAATAAGATATGTTAATTTTAATATAATTTGAAAGTGCAAAAAAGCAATCCCAAACGGGGCCTAAATACCCCCATAGTCTGGCTCAATCAAAATGTAGACGACAATTCACACAAACTTTAGCCTACCACTTAAGTTTCATACACTAACTTATAATTTTTTTTCACTCCAACATAGTTTTTGAATTATATGTGCTTATTATTTGCTTATATTATTTACAAAAGTTATTTTTGAGAGTTATTTGCTTCAAATCTAATGGCGCTTAAATCTCAAGCTTTGGATTCGTGTTCAGTGATGAAGGATACTAAGCCTTTATTGTCACGTGTCACTAGAGTACTTGTTACCCACGTTCGACGCACAACTAACGAAGTTCGTCACACAGTTAACGGAGTTCATCACACAACTAACGAAGTACGACGCACAATTAACGAAATGGCTCGTGGACTTGGCAGATTTGTATTATGTATTGGGCAGTGCTGTTGCGTGGAAGTTCCTGGATGTATTTGTGATGTACTACTAATGTAGGAGTTTGACTATTATGATTAATAGGTTTTTACGACTACTAAAGGAGACGGGTGCGCTCTATCCGGGCATGGTTCTTTCTCCCACTTGTAGTTGAGATGGTAGGCTATTTGACTTAGACTGACAACTTAGCCCTAATGTAGAGAGATGTTCACCTAATCTTGCAAGTTTGAGTCGGTTTTTATGTTTTTTTTTCTTCGAAGTCCTCTTTCAAGCAAATTATTATTGCATTTTCCTTATAAAAAAAAGTTCCATATACCCTAGTTTTCTAATTATTATTGCATTATTCATTTATCCCCAAAAACTACCTTTTTTATACTCGATATTCCAAAAAATGCCCTTCAATCCTCATAAAGGCTGGTAAGTCGTAACCGACCTTAAAGAGCATCATATATCCCCGTCAATACAGGATCGGTCCCAATTAATTCGAGCATGCGACAATAAATTGACTAAATTGACCATCTTTCTAATCACCCAATCAATTTCTAGTTTTCATTTTATTCTCTCCAAAGAGTCAATCTTACTTACTAATTTAATTATTAATTTCATATGGGTCTAAGTGACGCACCCACATGGCCTCGCTGGAGAAAAAACAGATAGATGTTGCTTCTAAAACTAAACAAAGAATTAATCTTTAAATAATCACACAAGATTATCCCTCTGCTAGTCAAATTAAAACCCTACTTGTTTTCTAAGATTCTCCTAAACCAAGTTCTAGAAAGGCAATGAGTGTGCCCCAAGCCAGAGGACCCCACATGTCTTTGTGAGGAGGGTGGTCTCCGTGTCTCTGAGAGCTGCTGCCATTAATAATAGCCATGTTGGGGGTTTCAATTTGAAGCGTCTGGCTGTCTTTTTGGCAAATGGGTCTTGCATATATCATGGTTTTGTAGACAGTGTTTTACGTCACGTACTCATTGGGGGGACTTTTACTTTAATGGGTGTCAGTGGTTTTGGTCCCTTGTGTCTCAAATGGGTTTCAAATTTGGAAATTTCTTGGTGGTTTTTAGGGCAGAGAAAACAATAGCATATAATTTTGTGGTTTTCTGGGGCAGCAAATTGGAGGGGTTGACCTAAATCTTCTGTCTGAGTTAGAAATTCTGTGTTTTTATTGCTGGTGGGGTTTTGGGTTCAGATTCGGGTCTTTTTTTTTGGAGGTGGGTGTGCTGTAGTGGAGTGGTTTTAGGGGTATTTCTAAGGGTTCTCAACTGGGTTTGTGAAAGGAAGTCTTCTGTTACATCTACTGGGTAGATTTGGGTCAGTTTTGGCAGAAAATTCAGTGGGTTTGTGCAAATTTTGGGTTTCACAGGCTGTAAAGGAAGCCACATTGTGGTGCTGTTTCAACGTTCTAAGAGACTTGGTTTGAGAATTCTGGGTTTGGTTCTTTCTGGCTGATTTTGGCTTCACAGTGGTGCTGAAGGGAGACAGCTTATTGGGTTTCTGCTTCTGCTTATGAAACTGCCCTGATTTGGGCAGTTACTTGTACTTTGCTTTGAGGGATTTGATAGTGTCTGAATTAAGTTTTCAGTGGGATTCTGAGTTTGTTTAGCTTTAGCTCTCTTGGAAAATTGTTCTTCAAGTTCTATACTGCTTTCACTGGGAGGAAATGGCTTGCATGAAATTGGGATCTAAAACTGATGCCTTCCATAGACAAGGACAGGCCTGGTATGCTTTCTGACATCTGTAATTTCATATTCTTTATGATTTCTATATACGCTGTGGATTCTATTAATGTATTTATCATAATTATAATTGTTAAATTATTTATTTATTTGCGTCCTTTAAATTCAGTCTGCAAACTTGGATTTGTATGGCAAGTAAAAAATTTTATGTAGCCTTTTAGTTGGGAGTTATTTTAGGGAATTTTTTTTCCAGTCTGGAACATGATACTGAAGAGCTGTTACCTTCAAATAAGTTTTTTTTCCCCATTGGTCTGTTGCAATAGGATAGCTTGAACTTAGGCGGTGGATACAAACATTTCTACTGCTTTGTTTTTCTTCTTGCTTAGCACACTTTGTCCCTCATCAAAATCTTTATGACGCATGAACAAATAACATTTCTGGGGTGGTTGTTTGGTTATATTTTCAGTTATATGTTACTTCATTTCATAAAGAATTTTGCATGTTCCGGATATGCTCTTTGGGCTATTAAGACCTTCTAGTTTTCTGTTCGTGCACAGTACATGGCTGATTGTACATTCTGTGTAGGTTGCCTTGGGTAAAAGGATTTTGCATGTTTTGGAACCTCATAATTATGATTTGCTGGGTTTATTTAATTTGATTATCGATGCACTATATCACTTCCTTTATTCTTTCTTATTTGTAGACTGACATTATACATACATCTTGGAACGATTGTAGGTTCTGCACCACTGGGCTTCCTAGTGACATTGTTGTTGAAGTTGGAGAGATGTCATTTCATCTTCATAAGGTAAGCTTTCATGTTCCAAAGTTTTGTCTACGTTTGAGTGAATCATAATCTGGTATCAACCCCATTATGCATGTTTTAAAATTTAAAGGCTATTCTCACATTTCAATTGCCGTTTGATGCAGTTTCCTTTGCTCTCAAGAAGTGGGATTATGGAAAGATTGATTTCCGAAGCATCTGAAGGAGAAGAAGAATGTGTCATAAACATCCCTGATATTCCTGGTGGGGCAAAAACATTTGAGTTAGTAGCCAAGTTCTGCTACGGGGTGAAATTTGAGCTTACTGCCTCAAATGTTGTATATCTTCGATGTGCTGCTGAGCATCTTGAAATGACTGAGGAATATGGGGAGGACAACTTAATCACACAAACTGAAGCCTTTCTCAATCAAGTAGTCCTTCGAAATTGGAAAGACTCTTTAAAAGCACTTCAGACTTGCGATGACATTCTCCCTCATGCTGAAGAACTCAACATTACAAAAAGGTGTATCGAGTCACTAGCCACAAAAGCATCTACGGATCCTAATCTGTTTGGGTGGCCTGTCAAGGAGCATGGAGGCCCCATGCAAAGTCCTGGTGGGAGTGTCCTGTGGAATGGGATAAGTACAGGGGCTAGACCAAAGAAATCAAGTTCAGACTGGTGGTATGAGGATGTTTCAACCTTGAGCTTGCCTCTCTATCAGAGGCTAATTTCGGTCATGGAATCTCGTGGCATTAAACAAGAGATTATTGCAGGCTCAATCACTTTTTATGCCAAAAAGTACCTTCCTGGGCTGAACCGGCGTCAAGGCACTAGTGACTCTAGTACTCGACTTGCACCAGTGTCCTTGGGGTCCCCACCGTCAGAAGAAGACCAGAAGCTCTTACTTGAAGAGGTGGATCGGTTACTTCCATTTCAGAAGCGTGTAGTCCCAACCAAATTATTGTTTGGTCTACTTCGAACAGCCATGATTCTTCGAGCCAACCCTTCTTGCATATCTAATTTTGAGAAAAGGATTGGTATGCAACTTGATCAAGCTACTTTGGAAGATCTTTTGATGCCCAACTTCTCTTATTCCATGGAGACTCTATACAACGTTGACTGCGTGCAACGAATTCTAGATCACTTCCTTGCCATGGATCAAATTACAGGCGGGGGGGTGTCTCCATCTTCAATGGATGATGGCCAACTGATTGGGTCACCAGCAGGCCCTTCACTGACCCCAATAACAATGGTAGCCAAGCTCATTGATGGATACCTGGCAGAGGTTGCCCCTGATGTTAACTTGAAGCTCCCTAAGTTTCAAGCTCTTGCTGCTGCTGTTCCTGAATATGCTAGACCCTTGGATGATGGTCTTTATCGTGCTATAGATATTTATTTGAAGGTAATAAGCATGAATTATTCATGAATTTTTTTTTCATTACAAGATCATTGATTTGGCAGTTGATCCATCATACCATATAAAAGCCACATCTTGTCCTAGAAATTTTATTTCTCTCAATCCCAATGTTTCTACTTTCAACTGGGTTGGGTCATATTACAATTTGAACACAGCCCGGCAAAGTGCATGAATTTATCAATTGGTCTTTGGCTTGGTATCCTGATTTTAGGTGGCCTTGAGTGATCCACCCCCAACCCTCCCAAACCTGATACAAGGTTGTGATAGTTAGCCAAATGAATGTTAATGAATTTTATATTGCTCACGCCTGTAACTTTTTGGGCTCATTGTTTTCTATTGTCTATAACCTGCAGTCACACCCATGGTTGGCAGAGTCCGACAGGGAACAGCTCTGCCGGTTGATGGACTGCCAGAAGCTTTCCTTGGAAGCTTGCACTCATGCTGCACAGAATGAAAGGCTACCCCTGAGAATAGTTGTTCAAGTACTCTTCTTCGAGCAGCTTCAGCTTAGGACTTCAATTGCTGGTTGCTTTCTGGTTTCAGAAAATCTCGATGGATCAAGACATTTAAGAAGTGGGTTTACCGGGTCTAACGAGGGGGGCTGGGCCACAACTGTGAGGGAGAATCAGGTTTTGAAGGTTGGGATGGATAATATGAGGATGCGGGTATCTGAGCTCGAGAAGGAGTGTTCAAATATGAGACAAGAGATTGAGAAGTTAGGTCGTGTAAAAGGTTCTAGCACATGGGGAAATGTATCAAAGAAATTCGGGTTCAAGATAAAGTCCCAGATGTGCAGTGCTCAAGAGGGATCCGTTACCAATCAGCATAATGGGAATGAGAAAGTTGAGAAGTTTAAGGAGAGGCATGGAAAGCTTAAGAAAGACTCTGTTAAAGATGAATAAAGCCTTTTGGTTTTTCCTTCTCTCTCTCCTCTAGTTTTGAAGTTCTTTCTGTGGTTAGCTCAATTTCTTTGATTTCAGTTCAGAAACTAAGTCCCGCTTCTGCTTCTTTGTGCTAATACCTGTTTACTCTTGCTGTATTGTTATCGTCGTAATCATGTTTAGCAGAGATGGAAAACGAAGCTACCTTGTAATTTGTTTATTGTAACAATAGCAAAGGTCTCTGTTTCTCTTTGTGCAGTCTTTTCTCTTGTCTCCAAATTTTTTAAGCCCCTCAATTATGATATAAACCTTGGCCTCTGTTTGTGCTTTAATGTTCTTGGAGTGTTTACTTCTTCTTTGTTATATTCTTCATGAAAATTTCAAACTCTTTTCTTGCAACAATCCTTGTCCTCTTTAGTTTGTATGTTCAAAAATAATTTTTGTTATTTCCTTTCAGATCTTAGCTATTCAAATATGAAATTGGTTACGTTGTCCTCATACCAAGATTCAAGAACAAATATAAATCATATTTTGACTTTTCTTTTAATTTTTCATATATAATTTTGACTTTTCACTTGTAAATATAAAGTGTCAAAACTACCCTCATCACTTTACACAATTGTGAAAAAAATAATTTAAAAGCAGGCGTGGGTTTGACCAGTTGGCTAGGTAGTGAACTCGTCTTTTTGCACTTAAGTTTAAATCCCCTTTTGAATTCCCATCCCAACTAGCCAAGATTCGAATTCCCCTCCCTCTAGATTAGATTAATTTATAATAGTTTTACTATCGCTTGTATTAAAAGAAAAAGAAATTTTTGAAAAACTTTATGACATTAACTAACATAAAACGAAAATGCCTTAAAAGAAAAAAGAAAAAAAAGAAAGAAAAAAGAAGAAACAGAAAACAAATAAGGTTAAAATCCAACAAGAGCATTTACAGAAGCCATCGTTTAAAAGGCGCTTGTTGTGCTGTCAAAAATTTGACGTCGTCCTTGCTCGTTTCTTTTCTCCTCCTTTTCTCATTTGGGCTCAACTCAATACGAAAACCCGATTTGGTCTCCAGGTTTCTTCAATTCAAAGACGCCTCTTTTCCTTTGCGTTTTTCTTGAATAATACTATTCTTAATTTCTAGAAAGATATATAATTCAAGCCTTTTCTTTCCTGCCCAGATCTTTGAGGCACACGGATCCAAATCCAATTCGATAAGAATTGAATAGTTTTCCTATCAGATCGATCCAAACCCAAACAGGAGGAAAAAGGAGAGAAATGGACAATGCCGACGTTGAAGCTGGTGTAGAAGACGAGTTCCATGGCAAGAGCGGTCGCAAGTATCGCCCGGTTGTCGACGACGATCGCGCCGTGCTCGAGATGTCATCCATGGATCCTTCCTCTTCTTCTTCTTCGTCTGCTCTTCCTGTTCACCAAGCTTCCCTCAAGTATGCTTTCCACTATCACCATTCCCTCTCTCTCTCTCTCGCTCTCTACATATATATGTGTGTGTGTGTGTGTGAGAAATATAGGATTTTGAATGGTGTTTAAGAATGAATTAAGCGTTCTGTGAATTCTTGTGGAAAATGAGTTAAACCCACTAGTGCAATATTAAAAAAAAATGGTGTTAGTGAATTCAGCTGTTTAAGTAATGAGAAATCTTAGATTCTTGGATTCTGAAAACAATTTTAACTAAGGCTCTGCCCAAGTGACATGTATGTACTGATCACGTAAGTTAGTTCCAAGTGGCATGCAATACTAATCATCATCTTCTTGAGTCAATTCTCAGAATTGAAACTTTCGAATGAACTTGAATGATTGCGAATTCTCAGATTTGTTGTCCTGTAGCAATATTGGGTCGGTTCGATAAAAGATCTTACTTGGGTCATGCTTTAGGGAATTTTTGATGTAATTCCTTCATATATTTATAGAAAAATGCTACTGCATACTGATCAAGGTTTTGGGTCATTAAGATGATTCAAAAGGTTGGTGTACCCGTTAAGTGCAAGTTTTTGCTTGGTTGGTGGCTCGTGAAAAGTCAATACTTGCTTCAAAAAGGAAGTTTATTTATATGAGTCTATGTCTGTTTATATCTCTACAGTGGTGCTTTTGTGCAAAGCGGATTAGGAGAGTGCTCATCCTATTCTTTGTATTGTCCATTTAGAACGCAAATTTTGGTTAGGCTGTTGTAACTGTTAAGGGTGGCTTACTTTACTCTAGGAATTGATGTTCCTTGCTGGTGGAAGTTACTTGGGTACTGGGGCCAAAGAAAGCTGATTATCATTTGGCATTGTGGGGTGTTGGTTTCTATGCAGATTGTTTGGTTGGAAATAAATAAGAGGTCATTTGATCTTCAGGTGGAGGACCATGGGAGAATAAATTAGATTTTAGATTTCCCTTTGGTCATCTTTGTCAAAGCATTTCATGGCTATTCCTTTCATCTAAATTGGGAGGAGTTTTGAGTTGAATGCAATCTCATTTTTGTATGAGCTGATTGTAAGCGTTTTATTATTGATCTTGACCCCCATCTTTTTTTGGGTCATCCTTTTTAGTTTTTCTATTCTTTAATGAAAAAAAACTTATCTTATATGTCATCTACTACAAAACAAAAAAAAAAAAAAAAAAAAAAAAAAAAAAAAAAAAAAAAAAAAGTGTAAGAAGGGGTGCACATGCATTTTTCATTTATACATCTCTTCCTATTGGTTCATAGGAATATATTCTCTATCTCTATACACATGATGCTGTTCAAAATACAAGAAAACATTGGAAATAATACTTGGTTTGGCTGATCATTAATCCATGAAGTGTTTTTCCTTCTTCGTGGGTTTCATAATAATGCCTTGAAATTAAAAATCCGAGTTTTCCTTATCAATTTTTTTTTGTTAGCTATAAAAAGACTTGTAAATTGATATTCATTTTCAGGTAATTTTGGTTTATTTTATACCTATCTGTTAGAAAAAAGCTAACATATATAAGTTTATTTATTCTTGCTTATAATCTTTGTTATGTCTATTGGCGTACCATGGCAGGAGAATAAAAGTGGGCACCCAGGAAAACATGGGTTCTGATGCAAAAGAAGGGCACCCTCCTACTCATGTGCAAGCCAATGGGCCCCAGAGAGAATCCAAATTGGAACTGTTTGGTTTTGATTCTCTCGTCAACATTCTTGGTCTTAAGAGGTATGTTCTGTTGTGAGATCGTTTAAGAATGGGAAAAACAAACGAACTCAAGAAACCAAAATAAAATAAAATAATATTAATGTCATTCGGCAAACGAGTGCATCAACTCTCCTTAATATATAATCTGTGTTGCCTATCTAATCTCTTTCTGATTAAGGCTGTAAAGATGAGAGAATTTTTGGCACTTTTTCTCCCAGTATGTTTTGGATTTTGGAGAATTTTCTTAATACGAAAGGTCATTCATTAATGTTTGTGGTTTTTTTTCCGACTGGCTGGTATTGATTTGTTTTTGGCTGCTCCAGTATGACAGATGAGCAAAGTGCAGCACCATCTAGTCCTAGAGATGGTGAAAATATTTCTATCACCCAGGGGCGACCGAAGGTAAGTTGACAATCCTGCTGTCTCTTGCATAAGTTCCTCCCTTGTCTTGTTGCTTGTTTGAGCATTAATTTGAAAATAAGGTGTGGATTAAGAAACCTTAAGGGTGCTGGCTTAGATGCATGGCTACCTGTTGTCATATGGTCATCCCCCTTAACTTTGTGTTATCATTTCATATTAGTTGGTCCAATAAAAGTCTCGTTTCACATAAAAACCATTATTTTATAGCTTTAAAGTGGGTAATTTCATAAATTATATTTCAAATTGTTCTGATTTCTTGCAATTTAAAACTGCACTTTCTTCAATTTCTGATCCTTCTCTGTATCTATTGATGGGTATTTACCATGCAGCCTACTGGTGTCAAATTGGGAACACTGATGGGTGTATTCGTCCCATGCTTGCAAAATATACTAGGAATCATCTACTATATTCGATTTTCTTGGTAATTCATATGCAACTTTTGTATTATATTTCAATTTGTTTGCAGGATGCATGAACAATTATATATTTGAGGTAGATTTGGTTGTTAGATGCTGATCTTGTGTATGAAGGGTGCAGTGCAGCTGAAATTTCTTTTGAATTGCAAGAAAATTTTCTAAATATATCATGTATAGATGTGCTATCTATATTATTTTTTGGTGCACTTCTGTTTTGCTTTGGAAACACCCTAGTGCTATTCTGGTGGAATTGTCTTAGTTTCCGGAAAAAAGGAATAACTTTCTGTTTTCATTTCAAAGCTTGTTAAAAGTTTGATATGAAGTGGCCATGGAAAAGTGATGGACTGATGTAGATCCGATTGAGCTTGAAGGAAGTTGTTATTAACTGTTTAGTGATAGAGAACCTCCATAATGTACATGTATGTGAATTGGGAGTTGGAATGGTCTCAGTTGTCATATATGCTAGTGACGCACATCAGATATCAAGGCACAACTGCTCTTGTGATTTACAAGCCCTATTGGCACCCACTATGGCACCAGATTTTTTCGGAAGTGGGGTTTTCTTGCTTTGGCTGCATGTAAAAATACATTTCTGTCCTGCAAAAGCTGTAAAAACAGTTTTCTGTCCTGCATGTTTGCCCCTCTTTCTAGAAAAGATACCAAAAATTAAGTAATAATGATCAGATTTGTTTGGCATGCAATTTCTCAGTTCTATTACGCCTACTATAGAGTTTTAGAAATGATTAAATTCATGATGTTGCCATCCTTCTAGACCAATCATGTTCTTACAGATATCCTTACTTTTCGTCTTTTTAAATTTTTTTGTAAGAGTTGCTGATATCCTTTCTTAATATATAAAAATGGCAGGATTGTTGGTATGGCTGGTATAGCTGAGTCACTATTCTTGGTTTCATTCTGTGGCTTGTGTACTTTCCTGACTGCAATATCATTGAGTGCAATTGCAACCAATGGTGCTATGAAGGTACACATTATTTATATGATAAGAATCATGAGAAATTAGATAGAGAATATTATAAGAATACCCCCAGCTTGTCATAAAATAACAAAGCAATCATTTTAGTTGACTCAACTGGATTATGATGTAATGGGATATACCATTTTGTATTGCTAAAATTTGGATTTAATTACAACAATTATTCCTACTTTCAAAGAATCGTTTCTTGGTATATATTCTACAGATTATAGTGCAACTGCTCAAGATGTTAATGAACTGTGTTATATTCACATTATCGGGTAATGCATATTGAGTTATGGTTATTACTTTTAGTACTCTGATACTGTGTTTTAGTAATTGCTTTATTTTTCATCAGATAGATTTGTGAAAGAAGAGATAATGAATTCTTCTTTGTTTCACTTTACTTCTAGGGTGGTGGACCGTACTATCTAATTGGTCGTGCCCTTGGTCCAGAAGTTGGAGTTAGCATTGGATTATGTTCTTTCTAGGAAATGCTGTTGCTGGATCTCTGTGAGTGTACACTGTTAACTTAATTACGATGACATAGTGATCTGTATGGTTGAGGTCCATGAGGCAGAGATAGTTGGGACTAGCATAAATTTTCTATAATTTGGATTGCTTTATGTATGATGCTGATGGCTATTGAGTACTGAACTTAGGCTTTCATGTTCTTGTTGTCTAGTTATGTCTTGGGAGCTGTTGAAACATTCTTGAAAGCTGTGCCAGCTGCTGGGATTTTTAGAGGTAATGTAGCATTGTTCCAGTTCACAATAATATAAAGATGACTAAAATAGAAATTCTTGCATGGTTGATGGCAGATGGTAAATCAATACCTGTTTTTAGGGAAAGTTCCAGTGCATGTAACATCTTATCCCTGGGATTGTTAGAAATTGAGCTCTATTTTCTGCGGATATTTTGCCCCCTTCTTTGTACTCCTTATATTTTTATTTATAGAATTTGGTATCTTGCTTCATTATCTTTATAGCTGTGCATGTTTTGTAAAGATGCGATGTGAGTGATAATGGTGAAATATTTGTTGTTACATTTCTATTTCACTTCGCAAATTTGGTGTGGGTTTATAATAGACATTGTTACTCTTTGTTGTCTGAGAAATTTTGGGGGTAGGGCAAGCAAGAGGCTATTAGTCTTTGATATTGTGGATTCTATTTGGAGTGCTTGGTTGAAGGTGTAGAAGAATTTTTGACAATAGGATAGAGGAGGTGGATTTTGTTTGGGACAGGATGAAAGCTTTTCTATGGGCATCTTTGTCTATGAATTTTAGAGATATGTGTTTTAGTATCATTCACTGTGATTGGCTTGAGCTCTGAGCTTATTCAATCTTACTGCTTGTGAGCTTTTGTACTAAGTTTTGCTCTTATGGACTTCTTTTAAGTCTTCTCTTATTTCCCTTCTGTGTTTTCTATGAATTTTTATACCAGTATCCACAACAATAAGAAAAATTTCATTCCAGTTGTGGATTGCATGGTTTTTTTTATAAATGAAATTTAAACCTTAAATATTAAAAGAATCCAAACAGAAGTGGATGGCCAACAATTTGAGTAAAGTATGTTTATATGCTTTCTCAGCCTCTATAGCTAATTTTTATTTTTATAGTTTTAATCTTTTTGCTGAAAGCTAACTTTGTGTTACTCTGACCAATTTCCCCTCTCAAAACAGACAAACACACCACATGCACACATATGCATCATCTGATCCCATTTCTCTCCTCTTGTGTGTGGTTTACTGGTTCTTGGAGATGTGTTTAGTGAATCTGTGCATTTGTGTGCGTTGTGGGAATTTACATGTGATTGAACAATATAACTTTTTTTTTCTTAATGGGAATTGGCATTAATAACCAAAGAATATTCATGTTAAAAAGAACAAAGAAAATTTTGTAATATTTAAATTGAGTGCATGTAATTTCTTATTCTTTTTTCATGTTGTCAATACAGAGACCACAAGAGTTAATGGAACATCAGTTGCAATACAAAGTCCGAGTTCACATGACCTGCAAATCTATGGGATAGTTGTGACTATTATTTTATGCTTTATTGTGTTTGGTGGTGTGAAAATGATCAATCGGGTTGCACCTGCTTTCCTCATACCTGTTTTACTCTCACTGTTCTGCATATATATTGGGATTGCTTTGGCGAGGAAGAATTACCCTGTAGGTTAGTGCAGTTCTTTATAACTTTCTTTCAGGAAATGGCAATTATCAATATATATATATGTAATATGTATATATATGTGCTGTTCTATGTAATTTTCCTAAGATAATGATGTATGCAATTTTGAGGTAATAATATGTGTGATTGATTACATACGTACTGTAATGCTGTGTTGTGGTGCTGTCAGCTTGTTGTCTGAGAGCTCCTGTGGCCTTTCTGTAAGCCCAAGAAAAATTTCAGTGTGTTCTAATCTTTGTTATCTCTCTTTGGCCTTTAACTAAATTGAGAAGTAGTTCTACTAGTTACGTAATGCACATCATGGAAATAAATGGTGAGCTATATCCCCGTGTTCTGCCTGTGACAGGTGTCTATATTCTTATTGTTGTTGTTATTGTTAGTATTACTACTAGAATGCTAGGAATAATATCTATTTAGAATAATAATAACAACCACCATACTAAAACACAAACTTTAGGAATAAAAAATAGAACAAAATGGTGGAAATTGTTAAGTGAACTTGGAGTTACCTGGGTAATCCCTAAGGGCTGTCTTCAGGTTCTTAGCATTAAACTGACGGTTTTGGGAAGGGGGAAGAGAGCTTGAACTTTATGGGACTGTCTTGTTCATGCTATGTTCTGGAATTTATGAGTGGAACGCAATGGCAGAATTTTTCAAGAGTATGATGGAGTGACTTATGAAGAACTCTGGAATACAGTGAAATTTTGGGCCTCTCTTTGGGCTTCTGTCACCGAACATTTTAAGGATTACCAGTATCCTATTATCTTGAGAGAATTGAGAGCTGTCTTAAGATAAGTTTACTTAGATGCTTTTTCTAGCCTTTTTTAGGGTGGTGTAGCTTCAGTGGTTTTCTTCTTGTTTCTAGTTTCCTGCTTTTGATTAAGTAGTGTTTGCTCTTGTTGTTTAGTCGAGGACAGCTTGTCCTCTTGATTATCAATACAATCATTTCTATTCAAAAAAAAAAGAAAAAAAAGAAAAAAAAACCAAAATACAAGTAAGTCAGTATGACAACCTCAACCACAGTCAATAATCAACACAGCACTACCCCACTCAAGAAGAATTACACTAAGATGACTATCTCTAAAGGTTGATGCTTGGATCTAGTTGGGTACTGTTGTATTATTTTTTCGTCATTTGACTAGTGGTTAAAGGCTGCATGTCTGGACCAGTTTCTTGAAGATTAGCTGACTTTGCATAGGTGTGCAGAACAGGTCAAGTCAACAATAGCAATATGGCAACCTGACTTTGTTAATTTTTGTTCCAACCAAATATTTGCCTTTTATACTTGTTGGCTTGTTTTCAGTGGGTTTAAATGGATAATATTTCTTGTATCGTTTGTTACAGATGGAGTCACGGGCTTGAGTTTGCACTCCTTCAAAGAAAACTGGAACTCAGATTATCAGAAGACCAATAACGCTGGAATTCCTGATCCTGATGGAAAAGTGTCCTGGAATTTCAAGTCAGTCATGGCATTAAACTTTCAAACTTTGGTAGTTTGTTACTTTGTTGCTGGTGTGAGTTAAACTTATAAATATGTGAATATCTGGTTTGTTATTATTATTGCAACTTGTTGCTGGTGCGAATTAAACTTATAAATATGCAAATATCTGGATTTTATTTTTATTTTGGAGGACATCATTTTTAAATGATTGGTCTTATCAAAGTCAGTCTCTTTAAACTTATAAATATGAAAATATCTGGATTCTTATTATTGTTTTGGAGGACATCATTTTCAAATGACTGGTTTTGTCAATCTTAGTCTCTCTCTCTTGCCTTTTTGGTTACCCTGAATCCATGTATTTGCCACTGGTTGCTACAGGGCTGCAATCATAAGATGATACCGTTCTCTGTTCTGAACTACAATACTCGAACTAGGACTAAGCTTACCAAGAGCCTAGAAACCAAGCTCCAGCTTGGCTTATTATCATGCTTGTTTAGCTTGTTATGTTTACCTTTTTTTAAGGCAAAGGTTGGTACTCAGATATGATTTTTCCTTGTTACAGTAGAAAAGAATCAGAATTATTTTCTTATGGTCAAAATAAAAGATTAGGTCAACTGATCACTGTCTCACTAACTACTTGGAATGAGTTCTCTTTTTCAAATATATATAAATACATTTGAATTTTTCATTTGTCAAGTTGCCTCTTTGGACATGCCTTTCTCCATTTCTCTTTCTGTAAATACGCACTCAGAATCATTTGCTACTGACCCCTTTTTTTGACTTGAAAGCATTTGTTTATTTCCTGAATTGTTAAAAGTGTGTCATGTTTAAAAACAAGCTATTCCTCCCAAGCATGAAGTCATTTTAGCTCTGGGTTTAGGGTGGTGATTACTTTTTCTATTGTTTTCTAACCATGCTGTTAATTTTTGTTTCCAGTGCAATGGTCGGCCTCTTTTTCCCTGCTGTGACAGGAATTATGGCAGGTTCAAATCGGTCAGCGTCACTGAGAGATACTCAGCGTTCAATTCCTATTGGAACACTGGCTGCGACTCTTTCAACTACTGCAATGTATCTGGTCTCTGTGTTATTATTTGGAGCCCTTGCTAGCAGACAGAAGCTTTTGACTGATAGGTATGCATATATTGTAATAGTTGCCTCTCTTGGGGCACAAACATATATTTCTATTTGTTCTTTCTCATTATGTTTATTTCAAAAATTCCCTTATGTTGTGTAATATTTTACTTTGTCTCTTTTATTCATTTGTGTGCATCAATGAACACTTGTGTCCAATTATGTGGAATCCGAGTCTTGGAACCATATATTTTTTTTTTCTATATCCATCTTTTGCTCATCAATCTCTAACTAGTTTGGGGCCTTATTTTGTGTATTATATAAATTGTGGTCAAATTGAGTTCCAAAAGTTTGAGTATCTGTTTAGGTAGTTATTTGCCTACCTACGTCTTAAACATAATCTTGCATTAGCAAATTAATGTACTTTCTTCATGGTTTCATTGCTGAAACTGGAGTTTCTGTGCAGGCTACTTACTGCTACAATAGCTTGGCCTTTCCCAGTATTCATTTACATTGGAATAATTCTATCAACCTTGGGTGCTGCTCTTCAAAGCCTGACTGGTGCCCCCCGTCTGCTTGCAGCAATAGCCAATGATGATATTTTACCTGTTCTTAACTACTTCAAGGTTTCAGATGGGAGTGAGCCTAACATCGCTACCTTATTTACCGCGCTCCTCTGTATCGGGTGTGTCGTAATTGGGAACCTGGATCTTATCACGCCAACTATAACTATGTTTTTCCTTCTGTGTTATGCGGGCGTGAACTTATCTTGCTTCCTTCTGGATCTTCTAGATGCTCCCAGCTGGCGTCCGCGGTGGAAATTTCACCACTGGAGCCTCTCTCTTCTTGGAGCCTTACTTTGTATAGGTATGCTTCCTCTTGTATTTATTTTGTACTTTGATTTCAACATTGTGCTTTTGCCCTCTATAGACAATTTTGTTAAGAAAGCAGTGAAAATAGGTAAGGAGAAGTCAGCTCCTGAAATGTAGGTACTAGTTTGTGCTTGAAAAGAATATTTGGAGAATGTGATTGAAAGCTGCTTTTATTACTTAAAGATTTTCAGCCTATCTAACTGTTGCGGTTGTCAAAATGATGGATCCTATATACTTGTCACTGTTAGGATTGTTTAAATGATGGATCCTAAAGAAGAGAGTTTTGAGCATTTTAGGATGATTCAATGGGACTCACATGTTACAGGGAAATGATAATTATGCCTTACAAAAAAAAATTGATTTTATTTTGGGTTGGGGGAGAGGATTTCAGAATTGATGAATTTCATTGCACTTGCCAGTGACGTGATTCTATTACTGCCATACTGGGGGGTTGTTGTATTGATACATGCGTGTAAGCAGTTCAAGTTTGATTTCATTTGAAGATTATATTAACCTTCTGTGTTTTTTCTGCACGCAGTGATAATGTTCTTGATCTCCTGGTCATTCACTGTCGTGTCTCTAGCCCTGGCAAGCCTTATATATTATTATGTGAGCATCAAAGGAAAGGCTGGGGACTGGGGTGATGGTTTCAAGAGTGCATATTTCCAACTAGCTCTTCGCAGTCTTCGATCGCTAGGAGGTGCGTGTATCTGAAAATATTACACCATATAATACATAATGCTCTTTATTAGTGATTGAAAATGCTCCCCTTGAATATGCCCAAAGTATATGTGTGCTGTGGTGGCCGGGGGATAATAATATCCCTTTTCACTTCATTTTTCTTTTGAAGGAATTGCATGGTTGTGGTTTGTGCTTCTCTGCGAACATATTTAGCCTTTTCTTATAACTTTTCACTATGCATGCAGCAAACCAAGTGCACCCAAAGAATTGGTATCCCATCCCCCTGATATTCTGCCGGCCTTGGGGGAAGCTGCCAGAAAATGTACCTTGCCATCCCAAACTTGCTGACTTTGCCAACTGTATGAAGAAGAAGGGCAGGGGAATGTCCATCTTTTTTTCTATTCTAGATGGTGACTACCGTGAATGTGCTGAAGATGCCAAGGCTGCATGCAAGCAGCTTGCTACCTACCTTGACTACAAGAATTGTGAAGGTGTAGCTGAGATTGTTGTGGCCCCCAGTATGTCTGAAGGTTTCCGTGGCATTGTCCAGACAATGGGTCTTGGAAATCTGAAGCCAAACATTGTGGTGATGCGGTATCCCGAAATATGGCGTCGTGAAAACTTAACGGAAATTCCAGCCACCTTTGTTGAAATAATTAATGATTGCATTGTTGCAAACAAGGCAGTTGTTATTGTCAAGGGTCTTGACGAATGGCCCAATGAGTATCAGAGGCAGTATGGTACTATCGATTTGTATTGGATAGTGAGAGATGGTGGTCTCATGCTTCTTCTCTCTCAACTCCTCCTCACCAAGGAAAGCTTTGAGAGTTGTAAAATCCAGGTTTTCTGCATTGCGGAAGAGGATACCGATGCAGAGGGGCTCAAGGCTGATGTAAAGAAGTTTCTGTATGATCTTCGGATGCATGCCGAAGTGATTGTTGTAACAATGAAATCGTGGGATGTGCAAGCGGACAGTGGGTCTCCTCAAGATGAATCTGTGGACGCGTTTTCTGGTGCTCAGCAGCGTATAGCTAATTACATGGCTGATATGAAGGCAGCATCAGAAAAACAGGGGACCCCACTGATGGCTGATGGGAAGCCAGTTGTCGTGGATGAACAGCAGGTGGAGAAGTTTCTTTACACTACTCTGAAGCTGAATTCAACAATACTCAGATACTCGAGAATGGCTGCGGTTGTTCTTGTGAGCTTACCTCCACCTCCGGCCAACCACCCGGCATACTTCTACATGGAGTACATGGATTTGTTGGTGGAAAATGTGCCAAGACTACTGATTGTGAGAGGATACCGTAAAGATGTTGTAACTCTATTCACATAGTATCAGTGGACTGCATCCTGGATGGTAATTGCCTCATTTTCGGTCATTGTTTATATTGTTATTTTTTCTTTAATCTCGTCCTCCTTTTTCTATTTTTACTTTTGTAGTTTAAACGTTACATTCATTCTTTCTACCATCGTTCTTGGCTAGAGCAGCAACTTACTGGTTCCCGTAGTTTGTTCTCATAAAATTTTGAAATATAGCCCCTATAGGGATGTGAAATTTTCAGTTAGAAGTTAACAATGCACGATCAAGAGTCTAATTTGTTTATTTCTTCTGCCCCTCCCTTATCTTAAACGTTAGCACATAATTGCAAAGATGTGCTTTGCCCATCTCTGCCGGCTGATCAATGTTGAGAACTTGAAGTCAATACAATGACACTTTGGTTTTTCGACAGTCGGGTTACAAAGTCAGCGGCAATAGTTAGTAGTTACAATTTTGGTAACCTTGACTGAGTGGCCCATAGTTCTTTCGTATAATAGCCGCTAGTTGCAAAAGAGTAATGCTACACTTATTACATTTTTATCCCACATTTCTGTACCACATGATGTGGAATATTTATATTATATGCCACATCAATTAAATCAATGAAGTGTATTTTAATTAAGGCACTTAGAAAAACAAATACTTGAATAAATCATAAAAGAAAAGAAAATATTAAATAATTTTAATTGATGTGGCTGTCCACCTAAGTTGCCACATAAGATGATATAAAGATGTGGTATACAAATATGGTAAGAGTAGCATTATTCATTGCAAAATGCCGTTGAGTAATAATTATTGTGTAGTATTGAAATACAGCAATATTGTGGTACATTCATATTATAGAACGCTATTGTGTAGTATTGAAATACGGTCATATTGTGGTACATTCATATTATAGAACGCTATTGTGGTACATTCATATTATATAACACGTGAATTGGTTTTATTCTAATACTGCACAATTAATTTGTTTTTTATAAAATTTTTTACCGTATGGACAAGCTAAAATCCTATGCTTATATTTTGTATAATACTGTAAGAAAAAACGCAATAAAACAGAAAGGCATGATTCGTTTCTAAATTTACATAAATTGGTAAAGCCAAATGACCTTGTGAAAGGTATACGGGATAGCTTAGTACTGTTTGTGATGTAGTTTTCCTGTTATTTGGGCTTGTGCCTCCATAGAATTGAAGGGAATCTCGTATACGAGGATAATTGTTCTTAACCACTTAAATGACAACTCCCTTGCGTTTTCGATTTTGATTGCCTCTCCTTTTCAATGTTTCCAACCCACCCATGCCTCTTGGTGCTTGGCTAAGTCAATGCAATAGCGAAGCATTATCCAATTCAGACCAAAAACCAAACCACAAAATGTGGGACGACGTAGTAGTAGTGTGCTTTATCAGGTCAGCGCCTCAAATCAGGACCACGAGCTTTCGCACTTGTAATGTTTTTTACCTCCTTGAATTTAGCTTCCCACTACTTGCTCTTACCATGCATAACACCCTTTTTCTACATACTCAATTATGCATATGCCTTGACTTTCGAACAAATCATACAATCGTTAAACACAACAACACCCCTATCTGGCACAACTGTATCATACTAATGAAAAACCTTAAGTTTAATCTGTCGTATATAATTATGTGTTTATCTCTTTCGTCAAATGATAAAATACACAATTGTAAATAACGGATAATAAATCCTTAGCCATCCTTTTTATTAGGATAAAAAACCGTCATACACATCAACAGTACGTAATAGGAATCGACATGTATGATAATTAATCGCTAATTTACGTAGATTTTATTAGATTAAAAGTCGCCTTCATCAATGTGAATACAATCTTTGTGTGTCAAATAATTGTGTTTCACACTAATCCAACACTTTCACACTAATAATACAGACGAAAAAAAAGACGTTATTTGCGGAGGCTCACATTGACAACTGGACAAACCCTTCTTTAAATAATGCAATCGTAGCCGTCCGATTACGGCATCTTGTCCAGCTTCGTAATTGCGTGAAAATGATTAAACTAGAAAATTAATTAATTTTATAAAAATGGCCATTTTAATTCTTTATATAATTGTTCCCATAATCAGATAAGCTAGAGAAAAATACTAGCGTCAGTGTTTACGAGAAGAGTCACCAGATCAACGGTTCAGAATCGTCTGAAATAATTACAAAGCAGTGGGCGTACATAACTGCTCGCTTGCTATGCTGAACCAAGTTTTCCCGCGTCAACCTCTCTCTCTGGAGAAAACCTCATTTTCGTCTAAGTTCACTCTCTTTCTAGATCTCTCTCTAGAAAACTAATATTTTTGTGTGTGTGTATATATATATACACATATATAAGTCAAATTCGAACGTGCGTTCTGGATCTCCACAATTCAGCTATTTTCCTCTTCTTCATTTTCTTGGCAACCAAACAAAAAATAAGGGTACTGATTGAAGCCTCTGAGTGAATCTTTTGTGATCTGTTTATTTTCTTTAACGAATTCGATTGTTCTGAAAATTTGGATTTTAAATTTAATTAATACAGGATGGTGGCCAGCGGTACGGAGGCGAGCGGCGGAGGAGATGTGGGCCTACGGAGGAGAGGGTGCACTTACCGAAAGTACGATTTTCTCCCCGAGGAGTCGTTCCAGAGCTGGGGCAATTACGTAAAAGCGCTGAGACAGACTCCGGGTCGGTTTAAGGATCGGGTCTTGACCCGGTCCTTGGACAGCACGGAGTTGGTGGAGATGAAGGCGCAGAGCCATAACGAGATGAAGAAGACGCTCAACTGGTGGGACCTCATCTGGTTCGGAATCGGCGCCGTCATAGGCGCCGGAATATTCGTGCTCACCGGCCTAGAGGCGAAGCAGCACGCCGGCCCCGCCGTCGTCTTATCCTACGTCGTTTCTGGCGTCTCCGCCTTGCTTTCGGTTTTCTGTTACACCGAGTTCGCGGTCGAGATTCCGGTTGCAGGTACGTACGGCAACGCTAACAAAGCTTCATGAATAAACATTCAACGACTTTTTTTAATAATTTATTTAAATTTATTTTATTGAGATTCCGTTGATATCGACTTTAATATTCTTTAATATTAAAATAAATTAATGACTTTAATTTTTTTTAATATTAAGAAGAGAAAGTATCATTAGAGTAAATTAGTCACGTTAGGAATGATTTACGTTAAGGAATCTTTTTGAATATTCTGAAAAACTTTCTAGGTGGGCATCAGAAAAGTCTAAAGTAAAATCGAATCATAGCTGGATATTATAGAAAGTTGGAATTTCTTTTTATTCTATAATCCTTTTATATATATATATATATATATTATGTATGGTCTCGATCTCTTTGACTACATGAGTTCAACAGATTTGTCATCACTCATGTCAATATATTGAAGGATGTGGGGGATCGCTCATTACGTTGCCTGGCCTGGCCTGGCCTGTCCACATATTAATATATTATTCATCGTTGATTCCGGATCTTTTGTTTACTTATAAATTCCAAGTCAGTAGTGTAAGGCCGGCACATTGATAATGACATGATGACCTGGCAGTCTTTGATTCAAACTTGGGTTTTTTTCAATAGGAAATTTGGCTTACACTCTTCAAATTTAATTTGCCGTATCTAAAACCCTTCACTTTTTGTTCCTATAAATAATACCCAATTTGTATAAGTAAAAACTCATTACTAGGATCCAACTCGGCAAGTTACCTAATTAAGCATAAAATCTGATTTATTGTACTTTTTAGATTCCAAAAATACCCCCAACTAAGCCATTATTGCATTTTGTATATTAATGTAGGAATCAATATGGAAACAGTTTTTAATTGGATTGTATATAATGACAGATGTTGAATTTGGAAAGATCTCCAAATGGTTGTAATGGATGTAGGAATTAATTTTGAAACATTTAAAAAAAAAATTTAACAATAAATTCAAATTTAGGTAATCGGTTTGTTTAATAAAATGTTTGTGTTATTTTCTTTTTATGAATTATACATGACTAATAATCCACTTTATAATTGTTTATGAATAAAACTGTACATACTAATTATGTTGAAAAAATAATGTACCTATTACTTGTTTGTTTTATGAAAAACATAATTTACCTAGTATGAAAAGTGTACATAATTATCTATTCCAAATAATGTACCTATACACATTTACAGGTATATTGTAAAATAATTTACCTGTGGGTAAATAATGTACCTATATTTTATATAAATTATTGTGTACCTATTTTTAATTATGAAAAATATACGCAATTACAAAGTAACTTTGTTTTTTTTTTTTTTTTTTTTTTTTTTTTTTTTTTTTAATATACCTATATTTTATATGTATATATTTATATTATATTTTTCATAGGTACATTATTGGATATGTAATTTACAGATTTTTTTTTTTTGGTTGTAATTTTAGGGGGCGAGATGTGAGAGGGAATGACAACTAAAAGAAATGGGGTGATTGATATGCTATTAATAGGGAGTATATTAATTACAATTATGGCAGTTAATGAAATGCTTGAAATAAATTATAAATAAAATATGAAGTTTGGTGGCAATGATGTAAAAACATAGAAATACTACGACCTCTTATATCCTACTAGTCATTTAAATTTGAAATTGGGTTTTACACATAGATTTATAGAGTGATGAGTATATGTTTAGGAAATAAAAAATGTAAGGATCTATATTAGACAAGCCCTTTTTTCAATCCTTTTTTATGGTCAGAGATAAGAAAACCCAAGGTTTGAACTTTGACTTAAAAATTGTGGGTTCAGACTTGTTTAGTCACATCATGTCATGTGAATATGTGAGCCACCGTATAATTTGACCACCCTAACAAAGAGTTTTTCTGGGTTGAACTTGAGATAGTCTAGACTTTTCTAGAGGCTGGCTCTGGCTGGTTCAATTTTAGAGAAATAAAAAAAATGTAGGGGTTGGATTTTAAATCATTCTCTCTAGGATTACACAATTAATTATGTATTATTATGGAAGTGCAAATCTGCTTGCTCTAG